ACCGTGCCTCTATTAAAAGAGCTGAGCCATTTGAAACAAAAGAAGTATCACGCTATACATTCTTCGTGGTTCTCTTCAACACGCTCAAGCTCTCACGTGATGTGACATGTGCGACCTTACCTGAATTGGGCGTGTGCTTGTACTGTGACACACAAATGTCACTTGTGGGATATTCTGCGGATTTTCCCAAGACTCGTACTTTCGCTTTAAAGGAGGAATTCACGATTAGAATGAAGGTCGAAGAAAGGGAAACTGACCTAGTTGAGGGACCCACGGACCTCCTGACCTCGGCGACCTATCATGCCTCAAAGCTGGCGGGTCCGGCGATCTCCGCCCACCGATCATCTGATCACTCGCCGTAGTTCAATACGTGGCGAGTGATTAGATAGCTGAGAGAGCGTAGGGCACAGCGATGAGAGTCGCATCAATGCTCAAATCAACGGGCAAGGAAGGGGTCCCATTTCTCGGGTTCTGGGCCGTTTCTCATGGTTCTTCCTTCTTTCGTGTACCACTCACCATCCCTAGGTTAATTTGAAATGGGTTGCTTTTTCATCGTGAATTCGTCCTTTAAACCCACATATCTCGCAAGCAGAACCGACACAATAACTCAACTGAAAATCTCTCCATTGTATTCTCAAAATATTCCGTTTTTCCTTCTTTTACAGCTCCTTCCCTTGATTTTATCTCCTGGCTTGTTTCCTGCTCTGCTTTTCTCTCAAATATATGGGGTGATCAATACTTAGTCATATTGCTGTTAAACAGCGTGTACCATTAGAATTATGTGCAAGAGAAGATGGCTTAGCTGGTGCCTCATAAACTTATAGCACTATTGGGAATTCCATAGTCACAGAAGTTTTTGACGACCTTCGAAAGAAAGCTCAGTACCGAGGTGCATCCGGGTGCACGGACTGCAAAAATTCAATTGAGACAATGCACACAATACCGTTCAACAGATTTGATAGAGCTTCCTTCACAAAGACCACCAACAGCGTAGAGGACGTTGTCGAGAACGGCAACACCGAATCGATTCCTAAAGCTTATTATAAAGCATGAGGACCTTTCGAGAGTAGTAATGTACCTTGGCTTGCTCATGGCAGCAGCAAGCTGCCACACAGGAATTGTTTCTTCTGGACTAAGATGTTCCATAGAAGCGAGGGTTCCAGCAATGCTCATACCTCCCACTGGAATTTATACAAATCAAAAAGAAAGACCAAATTATCACTCGGCAGTTCCGAAAGAGTCATACCACAAGGCTACTGAAGAAAGCTTCAAATCAATCGCTCTCATAAGTGATCCTATTTCATATTTGAGTAAGCCATATTCGCCCCGTCATCCCTTTTCCAATTTCAACTCTTCGTAAAGTCGAGGAGCACCAATAGTTAGCGTTTTCAACATAACAACAAAGTGTTGCGCTTGTGATTCTGCGGAAGTAGGTAGTAACTATGGTGGCTGCTGGTGTTTTTTAGGCTTGTGATCTTGGTGAGAGACGGTGTGGAATGGAAGATGATAGTGTTGTGTTTGCATATGAGGGATTTCTTCGAGATATCTTTCTATTTTACCAGATTAGTCCCCCGTCAACCGCCGGGACCTTCCTTTCCTGCGCAAGCTTTCTATCCTCCGCTATGGTCCCTTCCTCCTGTGACACCAACACCTCCTGGAAGTGACGCGTATGCAACACAATGGTGTTTCATACAGTAGAAGGGACACAATCATGATATGACGGTAGATTTTTCGCTTCCCTTCCTCATCCTCCCTTCCTCTCTCCACTGCCCTCCAGCTGCCACTGCAGCACCATGTGGAATGAACGGAAGTGTGCTAAGCAGGTGTTTATATAGCCCTAAGAGTGTTATCACAACTATCCTGCTACAAAACATTGATATCTCAAATCCTGTAAGCTACCCGATTTGTTAGCGGTTTGTTTATCCCATGAGCTTCCTTCTCACTCACTTCATTTTGCGGACGGACACACATACATACATACACACACACACACACACACATACAGATACACAAACCGACACACAAAGTTAGCGCTTTATAAAATAGAAGGATAAGCGCTAACTTTGTGTGTCGGTTTGTATGTCTGTATGTGTGTGTATGTATGTATGTGTGTCCGTCCGCAAAATGAAGTGAGTGAGAAGGAAGCTCATGGGATAAACAAACCGCTAACAGAATCATGTAGCTCACAGGACTTTAGCTATTAGTGTTTTGCAATGGCATGATTGTGATAACACCCCAACGGCTACATAAACACGCACTTAGCACACTTTCGGTCATTCCACAAGGTGATGCTGTGGTAGCCGGCGAGCAGAGGTCGCGCGATTGTTTTCGTCGATATATGTGAGCTGATCGACAAATTCGTGTACTTCAGGTGAGAATTACTATTTTATGGCAGAGTATTGACAGTGACTTTGATTGGTTGATGTTCTCATATCTATGTAATAATTTACTCGGGAACGAGGGGAGAGTAAGGAGAGGAGGGAGAAGGGAAAGCTTACGCAAGGTAGGGAGGTTCCGGCGCTTGCCGGGGGACCAATCTGGTAGGTGGAACAGCAGACAATTTTAGAGAAAAATGCATGAATTGGGTAAAAGGAGGCGGCATTTGCCTTTTCAGGGAATGCTCGGCGTCATTTTTTTGAAAATTTGTGGACGTAATTAGAATGTTTTCTATTGCCAAAATCAAAGACTATAAAAACCAAGTGGCGCCACACGCTGTTGCACGCAAAACACAGTTTTGCGGCGATATAGAACAGTGCGGCGATAATTGTCAAATTCAACCCTTTACACCACAAATATTTGACTTGCCTTCTAAGCTAGATTCTATCCGCTTCTCGGTCTCCGTGCTACCTCTGGACCACATTGCTATTTTGGATTTTAGCCACGCCGCCACGTTGCATGCCCCACCTACGATGGCCTTTGATCTTCCCTCCTTAATCAACCATTGCCCGCTTGTCCCGGTCGCTGGACTGCTTCCGAAAAGATACATAAATCTCAGGGTAAACCCTGCCTATTTCGGTGCACGCCCCATTCACCTAATAGCATTTGGCCTCCTTTCCTTTCGCCGACCTCTATCCCCTTTTTCCCCGGTCTCAGGTATGTACTTCTTGAACAAGCAATAAACTTGGTGGCAAACTCCGCCCACTTTTGTGCACGCCACGCCCACCGTTAACGTTTAACCTCCCCTCCCCCTGGCCTCTATCCACCTTTTTCCCGCTCTCCAAGACTTCTCGGAACCGAATTATGGACTTGTAGAAAACGCTGTCCACTTCAGGGCACGCTCCGCCCATTGTACCTCCGCTCACGTCATGTATGCTGGGAACACCTTAGACATTGCTTATTCACCAATTTTTTTCTGCTCTGTAGGCTTTCAGAACCGAGTTATAGGTTTTTTCAAGAAAGCAGTGCTTTTTCAGGAAACGCCCCGTTCACTAGAGATGAGTCTCCCTAATCCAATTTAGCTTATCCTTTACCCACTTTTTGCCCAGTTTCGAGGTTGTTTTGTCACTGAAATTGAAATCTTGGTCGTCAGTACAGTTCATTTCGATGCACGCCACGCCCACTGTGGGCGGGCTCCGCTTAGCTGATGTGTGTTTTGTACTTCGTGAGACCTTGCCCACCCATCCCACACTTGACCCGGTCCCTCCAGGCGGATCCCGAGGAGCTAGGGAATTTCGTGACAGACATACAGAACGACAGACACAGACAGACGACAGACGAAGCGCTTTATAGTAAGTAGGATAGCAGTTTCGCTTCGCTTGCTACCGCAAGCATGCCGAAGTAGACCTCACAAGAGAAAGGATGGTAGGTCGAAGTGGCCGTTTAAAATGAAATGTATACCACCTGATGCGTCTCCAGACGCTGATTCCAAATCTGCTAAACGACTCTCCGAACGGAGTTATGAAGCGTAATAGCTCAGTGGTGATGGTCCGGGGTGGCAGGTAAAAGCTCGTAGGATCGGTTCCTTTGCAAGTTTGTTGCTTTGCTTTTGTCCGCAACACTTCTAGAGAGACATTTATACTAGTTATTTCTTCAACTCTTGTCTATAATTGCCTGCAAGAGACTGCGAGCAGTTGCTGACAAGTTAGCCTCTGCTCCCGCATGACTGTTCTCTTCGCCCGTAGCGTGCGTGCCACACGTTTTCGCGCAAAACGAATCCGATATTCGTCA